CAAAAAAAAAAATCCCTCCACAGGGACATCACTATCAAGCTGATTATGTGGATGACCCTACTTCTGGGACCTAGGATTACTAGAATGGTCCTAGTCTTTCATTTTTGAGTTCCATCATTGGCTTGTCAGTAATTAAATCATTTCATTTTACATACATGGCCTTGTCGTTTTCTGAGTTTTGAAGGCTTAGAGGCATACATTTACTGGAATTGCAAAGCTTGATGAATCAAATTTGGAAAATTGTGGCCTCTTATGTTGTATGCACACAGTTTTGCAAAGCTTGATGATTCAAATTTGGAAAATAGTGATCTCTTATGTTACACACGCATAATAGCATTTGGGATAACTGAATACGATAAATTAGACAGTGGAATGGTCCCAAGCTGTTACATGGGTTTATTTTTATTTTCTTTTTCTGGTTGTTAATAATGCCTTGGATAAGAGATTTTTTTGTTTGTCGAGTACCCCGAATGTGTGACTTGTTAATAACTAGATGCCATCCTTTTTTTTTTTTTCAGGTGCAAGAAGAATATGAACAACTTGGTTCTTAGCCTTGCCCCTAAATTCACTAAATTGCAAACTCTGATACTGCGCCAAGAAAATCCACAGCTTGAGGATGATGCTGTTGAGAAAATTGCAAAATTTTGTCATGACCTGCAAGATCTGGATCTCAGCAAAAGCTTTAAACTTAGTGATCATTCCCTCTATGCTTTGGCCCATGGTTGTCCTAATCTTACAAAACTCAACATCAGTGGTTGCACAGCATTCAGTGGTGAGGCTCTTGAATATTTGACTAATTTTCGCCAAAAACTGAAAACCTTGAACCTTTGTGGATGTGTTAAAGCTGCAACTGACCGTGCATTGCAGGTACAAATAAGATTCTGACTTTTATGTTATATTGTCACCTAAGAAGTGAAAATGTAGAATTCTTGAATCTGTTGTTGTAAAATCTTTGTGCAGGCCATTGGACGTAACTGTGGGTTGCTCCAATCTTTAAATCTGGGATGGTGTGAAAATGTGGGTGATGTAGGTGTGATGAGTTTAGCATATGGATGCCCTGATCTCAGGAGCCTTGACTTGTGTGGTTGTGTCCGTATAACAGGTATTTCATATTTTTGGTGTTTAAAGGGGAGATTATACAGTACTATTTCAAATGGGAGAAAACAAAGAAACAATTTATTTTACCTAATTTGCCAAGTTTAAATTCCTTTTAAAGATTTAATGCTAATTAATAATATCAAGTTGCTTATTTCTAGTGCTTTATTGGGGTTTGAGGAGGATCCCTCCAAATTCAGTCTGATGGCATAGATAGTTTCCAGTGTCTACTGCAGGCTGTGAAAGCCCACTTCAAGCCTTAAAATTCCATGTTAAATATTTTTAATTGGCTGTCTCGCTTATATATTGTCCAGGCAGAATTTTATCAGCTATTCAGTTCCCACTACTAGGAAAGAATGCCATTATTTGTTTCCCATGGAAACTTGACATTTCTTTTCTTTAGTTAGGCACCGTACCTTTTTGATTTTGTAAAATGGTAATATTTGTGGGAGAAACATCTAAATAAAAGCTACTATTTATACAATGTGTAATCAAATCATCACCTCTTTTTTCCTTCCTAAGATTGTATTGTTCCTAGAACCTTAACTGTTGGAAAGATTATGGTTACTGTGGATGTCAGGTGGCATTTTTAAAGATGAAGACTGACAACCTCCTCTGTAATTTCATTGCAGATGATAGTGTGATAGCTTTGGCAACTGGGTGTCCCCACTTGAGGTCACTTGGCCTGTACTATTGCCGGAACATAACGGATATAGCAATGTATTCACTGGCTCGGAGCCGAGTGAAGAACAAGCCTGCAATGTGGCAACCCATGAAGGGAAGATATGATGAGGAAGGCCTTAAGAGCCTCAACATAAGTCAGTGCACTGCCCTGACACCTTCAGCTGTTCAGGCAGTTTGTGATACATTTCCTGCACTTCACACATGCTTTGGAAGGCATTCCCTTGTCATGAGCGGTTGCTTGAATTTAACGTCGGTACATTGTGCCTGTGCTGTACAAGCACACCGCACTGTGAGCAATATACCCCACCCAGCTCATTGAAAGGGAACTGAGAGTGTAAGTATTTGTGTACTTGTTAAGATGCCCCTGTGAATAGGATGTGTTGAGACGGCTCATGAGTGGCCTTGTTCTAGTTGGATATCATGGACTCTGCATGATCCAGAATGTGAATTATGCCGGACTAGGGCTTTTTGAAGCCTAATTTGCTGTTTTATTTTAATTCTAAAACTTGCATTTGATTGCAGCCAGAATAATCCTAGCCTTTAGAGGAATGTTGGTAGAGTAACTGGCCAAATTATTGACCAAAAAGGCACTTCCTCGTCCCTATGGCTATGGTTTGAACCTTTATTTTTTCTTTCCATTCCTCTCCCAGTGAGATTTCAACCAGCTACCCTGTACTTAAAAAAATAAAAAATAAAAAATCAATCCTAGCCTTTAGTTTTGTTGGAGAAGATGAGCTGTTTGATGGGTTTTTCTGCAGAGCTGCTCATAGGCACTTCTTGTATCTCTTAAGATTGAAAAAAAAAAAAATTTTGGGGGGGAAGGGTCGGTGGGGGAAGTGAGGAATTTTTTAGCAACAAAAATGCTTGTGAAGTTCAGAATTTGCTTATAAGTAAATCTGTCACTGAAAATTCCTATTTTTTTCTCCATATATTTTTCCCCATATTCATGAGATGAATTTAGGCAAACTCCCCATAAAGGTCAATACCAAAGAAGAAACACAAGAACAAACTATAAAATTATAAAGTGAAGTTTGTATGAGAAATATTAAATTTTGAGCATGGTAAGACTATCCTATCTCCATGTTATCCTGACATGAAGATGACGGACTTAGATATTCATCATACAGACATTTTCTGAAATTTGTAAAGTTTCCCAACTATTCAAATTTTCTTTGCAAAGTGTATTCTTTTTCCCCTTTAGTCCTTTACAACTGACAATTCTCAGCCAGATCCAAGAACAGTGGATAGCTAGGAGGAGGTAGCAGGAGCACGATTGTAGTTATCAGATATCCTGTTTTTGAAGACAATGCTGTAATCAATGTCCAGTAACGATGTTGATTTACCTCCCTTGCCTCGTATTGCTTTTGTACACAATCTCATCATCGTCCACATCAAATGCTGGATTGCAGAGACATCTGAAGAGTCTCCCAATACCCTGCAAGAGAAGTAAACCCATGATTAGACACTCAGCGAGTCCTGCTACAGCTTGTTATGTAATATATTGGGGAATTTTTTTTTTTTTTTTTATTTTTATTTTTTTTATGAATGTAATATATAGGGAAGTTGTATCCATATGACATGCCTGAGTGAGTAGAGGAGTTCGATATGAAAGTGCTCTGGGTGAATCATCTTCTTCACTACTGCTATCAGAGCTGCTTCCATCATCATCAATTTCAGCACTAGTTTTTCTCCTTGATGTTCCACCATTCTGTGCTTGTTTTTTCTGCTAAAAAGGCATGTTAGACACCAAAATCTCATTTTGGATGAGCAAATGACTTCACATTATTAAATTGTGAATGCTCTCAGTGTATGCATTATTGCATCATGTCAAACCACTATTTTGACCTTGTTCATTTTGAGTCACCCTAAGAAATTCGAATATTTATTATGCATTGGTTGTATGTAATTCCATATACATGCTCAACAATCTATTGTCAAACATTTCAAGAATTCTTGCACCTGAAAGATCTTCCCAAGAATTTTCAGAGCCAGTGCTCGAGCTTTGAGCTCATCCTTCTTGACATTGTTTTCCTGCAGCACCTACAGCAAATATGACAGCAAAAGAAATTCCTTGAATTTTAGACAGGGTGTTCTTTCATGTCACTGACTGAAAAAACAAAAACTCACCATTTGACACACATGTACAAGGGTTACTTCAATGTCCACAACATTCAATTTCCATAAGGAGCTCATCAATGTGTCTTTATTTAAACGTATGTGTGATTCAATATCATTCTCAGGGGCACTACCATCTGTTTTAAATTGCCTGCGCATTTCTTCTTGAAGTTGCAGTAACTGAAAAGCACCTGCTTTAGTTTCCAAACACATTAGTCGATTATATAGTTTCCAAGGATCAAGTTGTGTAGAGTGGATACAGGGAAAGGAGTGTTATAGATAAGTTACCTTTTGCTGCAGTAATCTGAGATTTCCAGAAGTGTCCTTTGTTGCGAAACCACTCAGCCACAAAAGGTACTCCGAGATAAAGTGCTTTCTTCCCAAGCTCCTGAGCTGCCTGTCTCGAGTAAATGTAGCCAATAGTGTGTAATATATCAAGTCCAAAAGCTGTGAATTCAAATCACCAAGGAATAATAGCATCATATATATTGTACACATGTAGCCAAAGACTGATTTGTAGCATTACTTCTGCTTGTAAATTCATCAGATTAGAATTGTAAACCTTCATGAGCTTAGGACTTAACACCTATGCTGATTTTGAGATCATGCTCTCCTAAAATGTGAATTTAATGCATTTTCAGCAATAATCTTATCACAGATAGATGCATATCAAGGAACTAAGTATATGGAAGCTTTCAAAGAAACAGGAACCCAGATATGCAGTAGGAGGTCACTTTACCAGCATCAGATAGCCGTCTGGCTTCTGATTCTGCATGCTGTACAAATCCATGTTTGTCACCCCGGACATATTGATTTAGAAAATCTTTCAAAGATCTTGCTAGCTTCTCTTCTCTTTCTCTCTGAACAGCCTGCATTAAATGGTTTCATAAATCACAATCACTCAGAGGTTGAAGAAGGGAGCATTCGAACTGGTTAGGAGTGGCTAACTCAAACAATATTTGCTGAAGCCATCCTACCATACTCATCACTAGCTGCACTACTAGTGTGTTTCAAAGCATACTTGCCTTCAACTTATCATGTAGTTTTTCAGGAATGCTACTTTCCCCAGCTAATTCAGTAGAGGCCATTGATGCCACAGCTAGATGTCCGATATAGTCCTCAAATAATTCACTTCCAAAAAGAAGAGCAAAGACTGCTGTTGGATCAAGCATAGTTTCCCTGAAAAATTAAAAGGTTCAAGTATTATGAGGGCATAGATCACCTTCTAGGAAGCCAACTTGAAAATTGCAATACTTCAATGACTTCTATAAGTCCACATGACAAAAGTCAGAACCATGAACATAGTTTCTTCTTCTCCTGATGTGCATCAAATTAGTTAATGCTACTGCTAACTACGGCATCTCTAAGGCTCAAACCGAAGATCAATCAGAAATTCATTTTCTTTATGGTACAAAATGAGGGATCTCCTGAAAAACCTCATATGGAAGATTTCCAACACACGTATGAACATTAGTAGATGCAGCAATCTTACTTAGATATGCTGTGCTTTCCATTTCGATCATATGCTTCTCTCTGGACTGGATCACTCAGAGCTTGATAAGCTTCACCCAATTCCTGCAGAAATCAAGAATTATCACATTGCCAACCATGAAGAGTAAAACAAGATAGCTTGTTTCATTAAACATGCCTCTACTATAGCTATATGCATGCACACCTAGTCATGCATAATCAAGCACGGAGCAGACAAATGATAAACAAAGTGAAATCACCTGGAATCTCTCAGCAGCCTGAGGATCATTTGGATTCTTATCTGGATGAACTTGCCTTGCCTGCACCAACAACAAATCTTCTCCTAATGATGTCGATTACATAATAGTTGAAGAAATTTCGTAGTAAACAATTATTGATCATTCAGGATGCATAAAAACAAAAATCAGGATACAGATTCAAATAGGTGTATCAAAACATATATATAATGGAACCATATATGCATAGAAGAAAAATCATAAGATCCCTTCCTTCCATTTGATCATCGAAGAGACACCAAAACTTATTGTAATTATGAATCCCAATACTCAAATACTTACCAAGCTGAAATCAAATTTAGCTATTAAATTGATGAAAACAAGGAGTAAATTGAAAGCAAACCTTAAGATAGTAAGCTTTGCGAATCTCCTCCTCGGAAGCAGATGGAGTCACACCAAGGACATCATAATACTCAGTTTCCTTTACCATTTTCTTGATCTTGTCTTGATTGTGAGACCGAGCTGAGCTTCCTGGAGGAGAGAAGTGCAGAGCCTGAAAATGTCCAAAAGGGAAGTGAAAAAAGAGAGAATGTGGAAAAAGTGAAGGTGGCCATTTTTGAGGCCCCCACGAGCTTCCCTTGCCTTTCCAGTTCTCCAGAGAAATAAAGAAATGAATTGAGTTGCTTTCCGCGGGAGCAAAAACAGTTTTTTAACTGTCAGTCTAGTGCCACTGATCATGTCTTCTTTTGAATTGCTTTTCAAGTTAGGCAGAGCTGTCATTGGGCTGTGTTTCTGCCCTTTTGTGGGACTTTTTGACAGATTCCATAAGGAAACTCTCTCGGCGACTATTTTTTTATTTTCAACACTCAAACTCGATATCTTATTTAAAGAAAGTTGAATTGCTTCTATTCTATTCTGACTAACAAATCGTTAGTAACCTTGTAGCTTTTTTTCATGAAGAAAACTAGGAACCATTGGAAGTTTCTAAATTGATACTTGATAACTTAAAATTTTTTATTTAAGATTAAGATCACCTTTGAATCTATAAAAAAGGCTTAGTCGTTAGAACTTTATGGATTAATTAATTTTAAAAACTCAAAAATATAAACAAGCATATTAAAATTAACTCATTTGAATTGAAAAATAAACTACTACCTAAAGGTTGCAAATAGTGTCTATTTGTTAAAGCAAATTGCAAATAATTTCTATTGTTGTAGTACATTTGTTGCATATGTATTAGTTTATACTATGAAAGAAACTAGCAAAAATATTAGGTGGTAAAAGTGCCACTTTATTGAAAAATTAACAAACTTTTGGTTCATTTTGACCCAGAATTAAAAGTAGAAGAGCTTTAAGTTAACTAAATGCCAATTAGCCTGAGAACTTAATTGAGAAAACTTAAAAGTTGGAGGCCTCAAATGTAGTGATTCATCCTCCGAAATCTACAGAAGCAGCTCCCTGTTCCTCTTTGGTGGTCCTCTAATGGAAGAAGAATCGGTGGAATCAAGCAAAAGACGCAAACGAAACGGATCCACAGACTCCACTCTGCAATGGAGCCGATGGCAACTCCTTGATTCCATTCTCCCCACCGGCGGTTTCGCCCATTCGTTCGGCCTCGAGGCAGCAATTCAAGCACGCGTCGTTTCCGGTCCCGACGATCTCAAAACTTTCGTGATCCATTTGCTGGAGAACACCGGCAGCTTACTCCTCCCTTTCGTCTACTCCGCAACCCGAACTCCGACCTTAGAAAACTGGCAGAAACTGGATCAAATCTTGGATGCAACCTTGACCAATGAGGTGAGTCGAAAGGCATCGATTCAACAAGGATCCGCGCTAATGAGAGCGGCCGCCGTCGTATTCACTGAAGCGCCGTCGTTAAAAGCCATGAGAGATGTGTCGATTGGTTCTGAGGCTGTACGTTTCCACCACGCGCCGGTGTTTGGACTTATTTGGGGAATTTTGGGAATGGACAGCGGAACAAGCCAAAGAGCGTACATGTTTGTGACGATGAGAGATGTGATTTCGGCGGCGACGAGGTTGAATTTAGTAGGGCCTCTAGGTGCAGCTGTGTTGCAGCACCAGATTGCACTGGTTGCTGAAGCTATAACGGAAAAATGGATGGATCGTCCGGTGGAGGAAGCTTGCCAAACTGCTCCTTTGTTTGATACTCTGCAAGGCTGCCATGGTTACTTGTTCTCTAGGTTGTTCTGCTCCTAAAACCCCAGTAACATCTGGGCATGGTAGAACACAATCTATAAATGTTTACATTACCATTAATTGTTCGAGTTGATACTCACTAAGTTAAAAACTTTGATTCGAGATTAAAATATAAATGTTTCCATCTTTTATATATTTGAAATGAACTCGATTACTTGAATTAGATTCATCTCTATTATGAACTTCATTACATGAGTACTCTGCTCAGGATCAACATCAATAAAGAAAAAATCCACTAAGTCATCGGATTGTACTGGATTTCAGAAGAATGAAAAGAAAGCTAAGAAATCAGCCAAGATATAGAGTTGTATCTCGACAACGATTCCAATTTGGTATTCCAGCCAATGCGTCTGCCCATAATCAGGCTCAAGACAATATCCACTTTCATCATTGCCGGTTTGGTATGCTGAGGAAGACATCTGATGAACCAACGAAGAGAATGGTAGCTCCAGTTTTAACATTTTTTCCAGCTCAGATACAAACTTGAAGTTTGTTACGCGCTTCAAAATGATGGATTGCTCCATAGGATGACCATTATCCTCTATCAGCCCAATCAGTAGAATGTGGTTCTGAAACCAACTACAGGGCTGAAGAAGAAGCAATCATAAACAGGAGCTGAATTAGGTCATTCTCTATCGTCACCATCATCGGAGAAGCCATCTTCTATCGCTTTTGAATTCCATCTCCATTGTGCACTCCAGTAGGAGGTTACTCTGCTCAGGATTGGCATTCATTAAAAACTGCTTCATGTGATGGCCTTAGGTGTCCTCATGCTATTTGAAAAGAAAATATATCAGTTTCAACCTTTGAAAACAGAAAAACCAAAAAAATTGAAATCAAAATGAGTTCTCAATGGAACAGTTCAGTTCATGGTGAATGTGTACAAGATTGAGAGTGCTTGAGTATACAGACTAGTTAATCAGATGAATAAGAATCTTGTTATCATTTTTTGAAGAACAAAGAGAATGTCATCACCAAATAACATTGAGAATCTCATTAGGCAAAACCTAGTGTCAAGCCCTTGAACTTATCCCATGTTAGTGTATAGGCCACTGAATAAAAACATGCATCTAATCCATCAAACTCTACAATTAATACAAATGAGAATGATGTAGTCACAATGTCACATAATATTATAAGTTTACAACATAATTGTTGTTATATAATTGGCTCTTTTCAATCAAAGTCCACCTATGATATTATATGTATCTACTCATTTAAAGACATATCATACTTATTTAATATCACGTTATAATTCTAAGCTTACAATTCTATGTTGTATCCTAATTATAGCATTGCCATAATGCAAATTAGTCCTACTGATAACATTTTCAGTGGCAGTTAATTCATTCTAAAATTAATGGTTAATTGTAATTTAGTCCTTAAATTAGTCATATTAAAAATGGTCCATTTTTTGCAATTCAACTTTTTTTGTTATTCATTCGATTTTGACATTGATGATCATTTTCTTCTTTTTTTTTTTGGGCCAAGATGATCCAATTAAATCATGTAATTATGTAAATCAATTAGAAAACCATAAATCTAAAATGCCTAACCATCTTTTTGTTACATTTTTTATCACCTGGAAATAATGAGCTCCTTTTTCACAAAACATTTCAATACAAATTTATACCTAGAAAAAATCAGCACCTAGGTTCAACACGAAATTATGACTACCTAGAGATATAATGACCCCCTTTTTTTTCTTTGCCAAAAAATAATGAACTGATTAATTCATGGATTACATTGAAATAATCCAAAATCAAATAGAGAGAAAAAAAGAAACATCATGAAGGGCATCTAAAAAAGAAAAAAACCAGCATGAAGAAAAAAAAGATGTCTTAAAATCAAATTTGAAACTTTTATGCAAAGAAATATTAGTACCTGAATTAAGTAGGAGCAAACAGAAAGAACGTTAGCATATTGTATCTGTTCCAAGAAGGAATATTGACAGCGTATTGAAAGGTTCAAAGGCCGTTTCCATTTCAAATCCAAGTATGCTTCTTCCAATCTAGGCTGGTTCCAGCTTAGCTTAGACTCTCCAGCAGAGAAGATTAAGACAGCAGAGTCTACATAGAACTCTCACTCAGCTCAATCCATCCAAGAGATTTAACTGGGTTGGTTTTAATTGCTAGGTAGTGATAATTTTAAACAATTTCAACTTTAATTGGTAGCTGAGTATTCTAGATTTATGATTTTCTAATTGATTTGCAAGATTTAATTAGACCATTAATGTCAAAATTGAATTAATAGTGAAAGAAGACTAAATTTCAGAAAATGGGCCATTTTTAATGCTTTACAACCTAAACTGAGGTACTGGATTCAGTACTGTCCTATCAGATATCCAAATGGCAGGATGTAATAACCCAATCTAATTTGTTAGTTTATAAGAATAAACATACCAAACAATATTGGGAATCTATCAATTGCTAGGTTGTTGGTGGGATTGGAACTCAAAGAGAGACCCAGGATCAGATACATATCCAAGGTTCAGTTAAATGTTGTCCTACAGTTAATGTCAACACAACTAGGGCTCCATTAGCCAGGCAAGATTTCCTAACACAGAGTTTAAGGGTAGAATTAGACTAGGGATGCTAGTTCTGGGAGTTAACCAACCCAGACCTTAACAAATGTATAGAAGAACACATTCTCACCTATATAATAACCCAGATATAAGAATGTACAGTATGCCCACAGGTATGTATATGTCAAACAATACAAGGACAAAATTTTCTTAAGATATGCTAATTATGAGATTTCTAATGGTAGCCAGGGAAGAAAGTTCCTTGCCAAACGTGAACACTTTATTCTAAAAAAATTTAAGCGATTATGGTGATGAAGTTGAGGCTCAAGAACGTACCATACAGTTTTGGTAGATCACTGATCTGACAGTCAAAACTTAGTTTCTTAACTGGATCATCTTCCTTTTCATCTTCACCTTCACCTTCTTTAAGCTCCTTCATCAGAAACAGGCAATATATATTAGAAACTTACTTCTAGAGAAACAAAATATCATGAAAGTTTTCAAATTACCACAATATAAAAATTGAAGTGTTACAACTTACAAGAAAATTGAAGGGGAACTAAAATAATGAAGAATGAAAAATAAAACATTTAAGGACTTGATTTTTCTTACATTTCTATCACGAATTATTTAATCTGAATGGAAACCGTGATACATATCTAGACTCATATATTCAAAAGAAAATTAGTTGGGAATACCTAAGATGATTTAGAAAAACACACTATTGTTTATGGCCAAAAAAAAAAAAAAAAAAAAAAAAAAGGGTGAAAAAAAAAAAAGAATGGGAAAAACACAAGAACAAAGAACAACGAAAATGAGAATTGAAGAAAAACTCAAATATAAATAATAAAAGCTTCACATTTACTCAAGGAGAAAAGAACAAGATTTTAAAAACCAAATGATCCATCAGAGAAATAGATTTTCTTTTCCAGTTAATCCTTACACCTTTATGAATACCCAGATATTGAGCCTGACATGAAACTAGAAAAGTATGAACCAAAATTTTCCATGAAAAAGTGAATGAGTATGATAAAAAAAATAAGCAAGAGACTAATAGAGGGACCCTAAAGAGATACAAATTATAGATCATGATATGAATGCATCCATGCACAGAATGTAGAGACCAATATTAACATAGCAAAAACCTGCATGTTGGCAACGGCTTCAAAAGGTAGAAAGAGCCCAATCAAAACACTAGGTGAAAGCCTTGCAGAAAGACTGAATAGTTGAGTGAGTCTTGTATAATAGCAAGCCTTTTTATACTGAATGTGGATGAAATTTGAGGTCTAATAAACATGTATCTCGTGAGCTTCACACCAGACGCGTGACCCTTAGTTACCATATAATGGACAAGTGATACGTAAGCAATGACTTCAGTGGAAGAGCCATATCCAAGGTTAGTGTTTATCCCGTGAACTTCACACCAGACGCATGACCTTTAGTTACCATATAATTGACAAGTGATACGTAAGCAATGACTTCAGTGGAAGAGCCATATACAAGGTTAGTGTTTATCCCGTGAACTTCACACCAAACGCATGACCTTTAGTTACCATATAATGGACAAGTGATACGTAAGCAATGACTTCAGTGGAAGAGCCATATCCTAGGTTAGTGTTTATCCTGTGAACTTCACACCAGACGCATGACCTTTAGTTTCTTACCATAAAACAGACAAGCTATACATAAGCAATGACTTCACTAAATGGGCCAAACTAAGAGAACCATATGGAACAAGATGGACTACAATCCTAGTTTCACCAGGTAAGTCCAATCCTAGTTTCACCAGGTAAGTCCAATCCTAGTTTCACCAGATAAGTCCAATCCTAGTTTCACCAGGTAGATTTCTCAGATGGGTCTTGCTCGAGTTTCTCACCAAGCTCTAACAGAAAGAGGCCCTAAAAGGCGTAATTAAACAGACTAGACAGTTAATCTGAGTACCTTCATAGTGAACTAGTGTTACATGTCAGTAGAAATTTTATATCTTTCAGACAAAAATGTTAGTACTAATAAACTAACAAAGAAAAACAGAATCAAGTGTGTATTTGAAGTAACTCAAGGGTTCATGAATCACTCAATATCATAAAACATGACGAGGGAAAAAATCTTTGATATATGGCAGAATAAAATTTTATAAATGTGTATTGGTAGTTCATTCTTTTTCCCTTAACAAGTACTAAATATCTATCACAAAAAATGTGTCAAATAAAGCACCGAGTTAAAAATGCAAAACTAGCATGTACCAACATTAAAAACAGAATACAACTTCTAATCTCTATGATGAGTTTTTACTTATTTGCCAATAAAATTACTAAATTAACTTCATATTCATATCTGATTTAATAAATCAAATCTATCATCTCCTATAAACAGCAAAACTAAATTACCTTGGAACCAATTTCTGTAAGGCCAAGTTGTGAAAGATAAAACAAGAAAGACCATATTATAATTTGTACTATGAATGAATGGTTAATTTTGACTTAAAAACCTATGTACAAAAGCATCTTATCAAAGAAGACAACATTTTGAAGCCCAAAAAAAAAAAAAGAAGACAACATTTTTACACAAAAATAACAAACCCCAGATATTTGATGGCCAAAAACTAAAAAATAAAATAAAACAAAAAATAAAACAAACCCCAGATACTTGCTATGCTAATAAATGTATATATATATATATATGTTAAAAAAAAAAAGGATGAATCTGCGATCCGTGAATCATTCAATTAATTCCAACAGGATGAGGATAATTGTAAAGAATGAATACCCAGTTAAGTGCTGCAAAATACTGCGTGTGTAAGTAATACATACATAAGCTGGCTCAGTGCGAAATCAAGTTAACTGAATTCAGAAAATCGGAACCAGAATCACACAGAAAATAAGAAAGAATATCACATTAATGATCAAAGTTTACCGAACTTTTGAGATCGGAGGAGTCAAGAATGTGAGATTGGAACCGTGATTTTGTGCTTGGATACCGCGAAATTTTCAGCGAAAGGAGAATGCTGCGAAAGCTAAAAGCTAAGAGAAGAAAAAGAAAATAAAACAAAATTTTAAGCGTCGACAGCAGGGTTCGAACCTGCGCGGGCGGAGCCCAACAGATTTCAAGTCTGTCTCCTTAACCACTCGGACATATCGACATTGTTGTATTTTGTTTTACATCTCTGTTTATTAAAGTTATTAACAATCCATTTTTTCCCCATTGATGTTCTTGGTTATAAAATAATGTTAAAATTATTTCCCCACAATTCTTACTTCTTTTTTTTTGAACGGAACTGAAACCCACATTTCTTCTTATTAAAGCATGGGATTTTCCCTTTTTTGATTATTAATTATTCAAAGTTACACATAATTTATGAAACTTACTAAATTTTTTATCTCCAAAACAAATAAATTTACTTTTTTTAGAAGTTATTGTCTAATTTATAATATTAGAGATAAAGTTTAATAAACTCTAACACTCAATTTAAAAGGCTATGTTAAAATTTCTATTATTATATTAGTTATTAAAATTTTATAAAATAAAAAATAAAAAATTAATGTAAGACTTACACTGAAATAACTTAATTCTACCTTAATCTATTATAAGTATCGAGTTGCCTACAAAAATTATGGGTCTATGATCTTGTTTTTAAGATTCATGTTCACTAGTGGCAGTTGGTTGAGATTCTTGAGAAGAGATTTACTTATTAATTCCCAAAAAATGGAGATGCATCCACTCTAATGATACAAAACTGAGCCTGTAAAAACACCAAAAAAACCTGGGGAGCTGGGCTATAATAAAAGAAGTAATAATGTATAAGAGCACCCCTACACCATCTACTAAGGATTGTTTAACCTCTTCTAGCAGAAGGTGCAGTTTAACAACCTGCTCAGGTCCAAAAAGAGTAGACCTCCCTTGATTTTTCCTTTGTTTTCCCCCATCCCCACAAAAAAAGCCACTAAGATTGTAAGACAAAGAACTTAGAATTCAAAGTTGTTCTGTTGAGGACTGTGGTCCTTAACGCTTAGCCTTCCCACCGCGTTTTCCACTTTTTCCAGGTTTCTTACCCTTGTTGGATTTACTTTTCATATATGAGATTCGATTTGCCTTTTGCTGCCTCTCCCTCCGAACTTGGTCTAGATTCTTAATCTCAGAACGCACATGAGCATTAGCCACTGAATGCTGTTGTTTCTTGCCCCCTCTGAAATTTCTATTATTCTTGTTACCCCGTACTCGTGGGTCTCCTCCTGCATCAAACATTTTTCTCAGTTAATAATGCATTCATTCTATTCTATTCTATGATTATACTTCTAATGTCAAACAGGGAGAAATCAGAACCCATGACTTCAGACAATGTTAATCAAAACTAGCTGTTACAAACAGCAAAAGATCACACTTTTTCTAACACTTGATGGTTTGTGGCTCGGTGCAAGTGTTAAAATAATGTTGCGGTGGCAGTGGAGGTGGAAAATTTTTAGAAACAAGTAGTTGAAGTAATATGGAGTAAAGCGGTTATGTGCAAGTTGCAACAAAGTGGCTGTAAAATAAACTCCAATTAACTAACGGTAAATTTAAATCTAATTGAGAAAACTTATCAAAAAATGAAGAAGAAAAATCATAGAAAAGAACCAGGGCTTTGATTTTCCAAGTTGTACCTGATAAGCTTGTCCCTTCAGCATTCTCTTCATTATTTGTTCCCCTAAAAGATACTTTCTTGTGAGACTGTTCTTTCCATTTCTTGTATATCCCTGTCTTCTCAGCTTTTACTTTTGCACCACTCTCTGTTATTACCTATAACCAAAAAGAAGAGTAGAGTGAGAGGTCCTGAGCCACCATTTAGTTTAGTAAACAAGTTGTGAATCATTTAGAAACCCTCATTGACATACTACATGATTTTATATCATGGCAATACCTACAAAAGATCATGGTAAGGTTGTGTCACAGTCCCTATTTTTGTTCATGAAGAACAGCATAGGCATAAAGATTTCTGAGTCTAGGGTCCAAGTCATAACAATAGTGTATCTCACAAACCTGCAAGCCCTTGCAATGTGCTAGATGTGAAGTTTATTCATTTTTCAAATGAAAGAAGTGTAGAAAAAACAGGGAATCCCTTGAATTACACTTGTAAGGACCTTGGGCATTCGAAGCAATAAATTAAACGGTAGAGTATGAAGTCAAATGCCAAGGAACTATTTGCATGTGTTGCCTATATAATACTTGAAGTATTGTTAATCTAGGTTTCCAAGCTCAGAAGCTGTGTGGATTGTAGGACTATGCAATTTGTTTAAGAGTGAAGCTCTATATATCTACATATTGGGAATGAACCTATGTCTGGTTAGTTTGTTCTGGACAACATAACATGTTAATTAACTTAGTTTTCTTGGCCAGACTTGCCATAGAGTTCCAATCCCATGATTTCTAAGCAAAAGAAAAAGGGACAATAAGATAGCTGCCAACATAACTTAAAGCAAAAAAGCTAATAAAGTTTAGAACAGATGAAGACAACCCAAACAGTAAAAATAGTTAACAAATACCTTTCCACTAGCTGTAACACGTTCACCATTATTCAACTTGATGTACTTTTTACTCCTCTGCCATAAAAATGGTCCATAATGCTCAGAAAGAAAGTAATCTACATAAGACAACAATAAAAAGCCACCATACAACTGATCAAACTACCTTATCCCAGTGATATCTTGATTTTTGTTTCTGCATGCCTGCACTATCATCTGCAACAAGATCTAGGACAGCAGACTCCAACCTGCATTGCAAATGATGCCAAGAGACATCAGGAGATGTCAAACAAGTGGGGGCTTGAGAAGATAATGTCACAATCAGAAAATCTGACAGATTTGAAGGAGGGGTTTTGGACCCTTATTATTATTCTGACTTTCTGAGTTTGTGTCTGCATTTTTAAGCAAAAAGCTTTTTGCAAAAACTGTTGCACAAATATAACATGCATACATAACAACATGGACATAGAAAAAGGAACAAGGTAACTAATACATTAAAAGGAGCATGTTCAATATGACAAAATTGAAAGCTTGCATACAACTATACAAGAAAATAATTAGCAATTGTCTAGACATCATTGCTTCTCTAAAACTGCCACAAATTACAAGCCTTGAGTGAAAAATATACACAGATGCATATATGGCCCCAGTATGCCTCAATTTTAAATTGATGATGAAAATTTCAACATTTGCATTCAAAAGGAAAAGGCACTAGTTATCTAGTTGGCATCAAGTTATCTAGTTGGCATCAAGTCATCAACACCTCCAGAACGCAGAGATGCAGAAGTCTTAGCATTCTCACAAGTAAAGTATGCACAAACTTATCTATTCCCATTTTCTGGTACCTACCCTACCCAGATTAAACATACTGCTCATCCTCCGTACTACTTTTGTTCAACTTTTCATCTTTCAAGACAGGTATTTATCTACAAAAAATAAGAAAAATGCAAGGTAACTCTTCATGAAGTCATTATTGCACACATAAAATGAAGGCAATTTGGTACTCACATCTCTTAATTCTATCAAATTCTTCACCTATGATGAAAGAATGCCTTCCAATGCAGTAAACATGCACCACTCTCTTCTAAGGTTTAGTTTGTCTTGCAAAATCACTTCATGGACAGATAAAAAGTTAACATGCAAATAGAACTAAGAATTACCTATTTGATCCAAATCCTTCATTATTTCTAACGGAGAGGCCTGCTTCCATATGCTGCAAAAGATTCAAACATGCAAATCAAATAATTAGCCATATTAACATATTGCACACAATGTCAAACATAATTGATGAGACTTAAGAACTATAAAAGAAAAATACATGATTTGTCGGCACTGAGCTTATGTAAAACTCCTCATCCTTGAAACTCACAGCCTTTCTTTTCGAACCAGAAGCTTCTCATGGGGAAAAAAATAAATAAATAATCAAAGAATCAGTTATAGAATCAAGTAGCAAGCATAATGAAATTCCTTTTCCTCAAAGATATGTTATGTCTCTTCATGTACTTATCACTTTTCAAGTAGTAAAATGTCTTTGGTCTAAAGGTAAAAGGTTTCTTTTTCCCCTTCTGACATTATGTACACACTTCATCTCAATCTTTCCTTATGATCAGCACTCTTTATGTGAATATTGAGGAGATAAAAAAAAAGGGTGCAATTGAAGAGATGATAACTTTAGTACAAGAAGGAGAAAACCTTTTCTCCCTTTTTTCTTGGATGTAGAATCTTCAGATTGAACTTCCTACAAGGATCAAAAAGTTTATTAGGTCTATAAATATAAAAAAGAAACTAAGAACTCAACAAATATTAAAGATATGCAAACAACAATTCAATAACCATTTAAAGAATCTCATATCATTCAGAAATTACCAGGTCTACTAATTTCAAATCTTAAATAACAGACAGTTCTTGCATTATGAAGCCATTAATTTAAAGATAGTGAGTCAAGTCAACAATACTTGCCTTTTCTACAAGCTTGTTAGACCTTTGTTGATGAACCAAATTAATGATTTCCTCGTGGATAGCTCTCTTCTTCTTCATCACATCAACCCATTGACTAGAAGGTCCCTACAAATAAAATACATACTAAACTTAAGATTTGTACAACAGAAGAACCATTATGATTTAAGAAGGAAATAAAAGAAGTGTGACCACTAAATGACAGAAATGGCCTGTGAGACAGACGTTGGCCTTAGAGGAAGAAAACCACACTGCAAATCTAAAATTATGAATTCATCTTTTTTTCTCTACTAGGTCAAATTTGTGGCTTAAAATGAGATGCCACACTTCAATGAACACAAAAGAAATGTCTGTGTAATGAGTAAGATTCAATTTCTAGATCCAAAGCAAGGATGAAATGTTTTATAAAGGAAGAAAAGTGAAAAACAGATGATTTAAAATAGGAAAATAAGGTTCAAACCCAAATTCCAACGCAATAATTGCCAATCAAGTAATTATGAAGTATGTGGCAAACTGCCAGGACATGCCACACAGAAAATTACCCAAGTTACCTGCAGCTTTGACTTAGCAGCTTCACCTTCAGCTTCCAAAATGGTCTGCTTGGGTCTAAGAGTAAATCAACAATAGTAGAGTTAAAATTACAACTTCATAATCTCATGTGTGAAAAATTAAACCACTGCCCCAAGATAAAAACAACCACTAGTGCATCAAGAATGAGAGAAGAGAAGGGGGGGGGGGTGTAGAGGGGATGGATGAAAAGCTTTTAAGACTGACCTGAAAGCTTTCAAGCGCTCAGAAAAAGCAAGTGCCACTAATTCACCTCCTTCTAGAACATTTTTGAAGATTGGATGCAAGCCTTCACAAGGTAAATCCTTTGCTCTTTTAATGGATTCTCTTGAAGGCAGTGGTTTTGTCTTTGAGTACAAGCGAAAAGCATTTATACATGTTTTCTGCAAAGATGACAGTTCTGCAGATGAATCAATGATGTCTCTGATTCTATCTGAAACAAGGTCAATAACTTTTTGAGGAAAACGTCCATAAACAGTTTCTCCTTTTGCAACTGCTTGATCAATTTTATCCATTACTCCCTCCATATCCTGCAAAACCTCCTCTTCAGTGGGTGCAGCCCTAATTGGTTTTGAAAGAAATAGATGAAGATCTAGAAGGTATGCCATATCCTCAGGTGTTACAAAAGAAAATGCAGTACCCGTTCGACCTGCCCTTGCAGCTCGCCCTACTCGATGGACAAAAATTTTGGGTTTTGGAGGGAAGTCCCAGTTGATAACATTATCAAGTAAGGGTATGTCAATACCCCTGGCTGCAACATCTGTAACAATAAGCAACATGGTTTTTCTCGCCCTGAACCTTGATACATGAATTTTGCGAGCATCTTGATCCATGTCACCATAGCACACAGAAGGCTCCATTCCCTCCTCTCTGAACAAGATATTAAGGAACTCGACATGATGTTTTGTGGAAACAAATATTAATGTCTGCTGATCAGAACTAATTTGCTCCCTTACCAAATACAGTAATGCTGCAAGTTTTTCTTCCTGACGTAAGGTGAAAAAAGTTAGCTTCAAGTCAGGGCTAATCTTGGTTTCCAGATCAAGTCGAACTAGTTGAGGGTCTCGTAGACCAGCTTTTGCAAACTCAGCAAGGGCACTTGGTAATGTTGCACTAAAGAGCAAAGTCTGACGATTTTCACTAAGCTGTGTAAGGATTTTATGCAACTGTTCAGCAAAACCCATGCCAAATAGACAATCTGCTTCATCAAAGACCACATACTCCACAGTACGAAGCGACATGTCATCAACCTCGGACAAATGGTGCATTAGCCTACCAGGAGTTGCAATGATGATATCAGGATTCTGTGCCAGTTCTTCAAATTGATTTTCCATGCTATCACCACCAACAAGTAAACTAGTATGAAGATCTACAAAATAAAATAAACAAATAAATATACTTGATTCTCAGGGAATTTGGAACAATTAAACAAATGAACCCTTCACAGTTAAAGGTATGATTTTTCAGCTTAACTGTTGAAAATGTTCTCATTAAGATATTGAACAATGCATTCTCTCATTAATCTAACCTTAACAAAAGACTAAATCATCTGAAACTACGCTCAAATCTTCAAATTATCATTGCAATAACATACAAATAACATCGAAAATAAATGAAACTCGAACCTGTAAACCTCCCCAATTCCTGTGTGAACTTCAATGTCTGCAAGGCCAAGTCCCTTGTGGGCGAAAGAATGAGGGCCCTAACGCCGCACTGGGGTGCGTGCTGCTTCAGCTTCTCCAACATCGGCACCAGAAACGCCGCCGTCTTTCCTGACCCAGTTCGTGCCATGGCGACAACATCGTTTCCCGCCAGGATGAGCGGCATGGTCTTGCGCTGTATCGGCGTGGGGACCCTGTAGCCCTTCTTCTTGACTCCTCGGTAGACATTAGGGCTCAAATTGAGGGACTCGAAGCCACCTGATTTAGCTTTCTTTTTCTGCTTCTCTTTGCGTTTTAGTTCCGCTTTGGAGCTGACGAGCATCCCCTTTTGTTTGGCCATTGGTAATCGATTCTGGTATTCCGGCGAATTATTTTCCGGTGAAATAAACAGAAGAGAGGATGCAGAAGGAGGAGATGCAAGAACTGAGAATCGGCGGACCTACTGAATCGGCTTCTTTGTTTGCAATTCCCAACTCTAAAACCCTGGCGGGTTTTGAGTTTTTAGGCTCATGGGCCTGGTTGGATATAACAATCATAATGAACCAATCAGTGAAATTTCATGAGTTGTTGAAGCCCAAACTAGGCCCAAGAATCTCCTCCATGCAAATTCTTAAGCTGTCGAGTTTTCATTACGGCAAGAATGAGTCGATACGTATCGATTTGTTTAATATTATATAATATGTGATAATTTTTTTTGGTATTAATTTTTTTATATTTAAAAATCACATCAAACTCCATAATCTAGTCACCTCTCTGAATA